TTATCTGCCGAGGGGTCCCAGACTGCGAGAGGGCACAGGCCGGGCTGGGGGACCCCCCCTCCCCCGTCCCCCCCGAGTGCACAAATTTTTGTGCACCGGGCCTCTAGTATTATATAAAGTATAAACTATCATTAAATGTTTACATAAAAATAAAACCATTTATAATTCTAGTATTTAATATCCATAGAGTTGCAATGTAAAAATTCAGTATCATGCTTTATGTATGTTATGTTTAATTCTACATTCTTTTTCTTTGTCTTTCATTTTCAGCAGTTTGATTATGATGTGTCTTGGTGGGGATTTCTTTCAGTTCATCATTTTTGGGATTCAGTCAGCTATTTGAGTCTGTAAGGTTTTGTTTGTTTGTTTTGTCTTTCAACAAATTAGGAGAGTTTTCAGACATTATTTATTCAAATATTTCCTAAGACCTGCATTTTCTTCACTTTTTTAGGACTTCAGTGGCATGAGTGTTAGATCTTTTGTTATTTTCCCACAAGCCCCTGAGGCTGTGTTCATTTTTTTCAATCTATTTTCTCTCTGTTGCTCAGACTGGATAATTTGTATTGATTTATCTTCAAGTTTACTGACTCCTTCCTCTGTAATCTTCACTTTGCTATTGATCCATTCAGTGAGTATTTTTATTTTGGATATTGTATTTTTCAATTCTAAATTGCCATTTGATTCTTTTTTTATGTCTTTTATTTCTTTGCTGAGATATTCTAGTTTCCCGTTTGTTTCCAGAGTGTTCATAATTGCTTTTAGAATGTTTATGATAGTTCCTTTAAAATCGTCACCAGATAGTTTCAACACTTCTGTCTTTAGGCATTAATATCCATTGCTTTATTTTCTCATGCAAAATGAGATTTTCCTGGTTCTTGCTATGCCAAGTAATTTTGGGTTATGTCTTAGAAATTCTGTGTGGTATGTTATGAGACTTTGGTTCCTCTTTAAGTCTTCTATTTTAGCAGGCAGTCAACCCATTTAGATTTAGAACGCACATCCTGGCCCACTTCTGTGGGCTGTGGTTTGCATGTTAATTTACCTTTTGAACCTTTGCAGTGCTGTTCTGGATGGCCCCGCTGTGCATGGCCGAGAGGCCAGTCTGAAACCTGGGTGGTATTCCACACTGCAGCTCAGTTCTCAAAGCCATGGCTGTATTGACTCTGGCCAGTTTTAATGCTTGGGCCACTCAGAGATGAGCCTGGGACTTGATACTTAGATATAAAAGGTCTCTTTCTTCTGCTCCCTCTTTTTCATAATCCTCTCCCAACTGTCTAGTTGGAAGGGGGAAGAGGATGCTGTCTCTCTGTGGTTAGTGCTGGGCCAGCATTGACTACAGGGTTCCACCCCACATTCGCTCACCACTGTGCTTGGTGGTGAGAAGGAGAAGCAATGCTTTTGCTTACATTTATTTAATGTGGAACAGGGACAGACAGCAAGTCCAAATGCAAAACCTAAAACTATAAAACTAGAAGAAATAGGGGAAAATCTTGATGATCTTGGATTAGGTAAAGATTTTTTAGATAGAACACAAAAAGCATGATCCATTAAAAAATGATAAATTGAGTTTCATCAAAATTAAAAACATCTGCTGTTTAAAAGTTACTGTTAAGAAAATGAAAAGACAAACTTCAATTGGGGAGAAAATATTAGCAAAAGAGGACCTACATCTAGAATATATAGAGATTTCCCAAAACTCAGTAATATGAAAACAAACAACCTAATAAAAAAATGGGCAAGAGACTTGACCAGACACTCCACCAAAGAAGATATATGGATAGCAAATAAAGCACATGAAAAGATGCTCATCGTAAGTCGTGAGGGAAATACAAATTAAAGCACAATGAGGTACTGCTCCACGTATTAGGATGGATAAAACAAAACAAAACACTGGACAGTACCAAGTGCTGGTGAGGTTGTGGAGTACCTGGGAACGCTCATACCTTGCTGCTGGTGGAAATGCAAAATGGTACAGTGACTGAAAAACTGCTTGGCAGTTTGCTTTAGCACTAACATGCACTCACCACACGCTCCAGCAATTGCATTTTTAAGCAGTTGTCCAAGAGAAATGAAAATTTATGTTAACACAAAAACCTGTATGTGAATATTTGTAGCAGCTCTATTCATAGTGGTCTCAGACTGGAAACAATCCAAATGTCCTTCAACGGGAGAATGTACAAGCATATTGTAGTTCCTGAATGATTAAGAGGAACAAACTACTGATACATATAACATGGATGAATACATAATGCCAGGTGATAGAAAGCCAAGTGATAGAAGCCATACTCAAAAGGCTACATCTATTCTGAAAAAGGCAAAAGTTCAGGCAAGTAAAACAGGCCTGGAGGCGGGGATTGACTACAAAGAGCCATGAATTTTAGGGAGGATGAAATTGTCCTAGGTTTTGAATGTGGTGAGTACATGAGTGTATGTGCTTATTAAATTAATTAGACGGTGCACTAAAAAGATTATTTTACTTTATGTAAATTATACCTCAATATACCTGACATTTAAAAAATCTATCAAGCTTCATTTATGGAAATCAACAAATTTTTCCCCTCCTCACTATTTGGAGAGTTCTGGCTGTGCAATTATTGAAGAATTAATAGTATTTTTCTTGTTAAGAAATGGTTGAGTGGGGCCTGGATAATGGGGAGGGCATCTCAGAAGATAGCCTGTGTATGAGCAAAGGCAAGCAGATGTGGTTTGGATTTTGAGAGGAGGCACCAAACTCACCTGGTGGTCACTCAGCGGAAAAATCTGTTTAATCGTTAAGAGAGCAAGCTCTGGAGTTAGACCGCCTGAATTTGAACCTGGCTCTTCTACTTCTTATCTTTGTGACTGGCAACGTAAGAAACATTCAAACCTGTAGATAATTTTTGTGAGTTTATTTGAGCCAAACTGATGACAATTTGCAGGAAGCATAATCTCAGATGATTGAATAAATGCTCCAGAAAAATGTCAGTTTGCACCTTATTTTATACATTATAAGCAAAAGAGAAGACAATAAGTGGGTTACATGAAATCCTGTGGTGATAGATTAGGGAGGTGGGAAAAAGCAAAGCTGGGGAATTTCTGAGATTGAGTGAAGAGTAAAGCGGATAGGCTCATCCTTCTCTTACACAGATGGGTACAAGATAGTTACGTGTCAACAAGTAACACGATAGCAATAACGAGGGGATTTGTGGTTTCTGCTGGTGAGGTACCTGTGCTTTGAGGGGTCCAGAGAAAGGGAGCTTTCTTTGACATTCTGTTATAGTAGGCGCAAAAAGACAACAGACAGGCTCAATTAAGGTAAAGATTGACTTTTGTCAGGGAGGATTCTAGCCTAGGACATGACTACCCACCATAATCTGCTTTTAGTTAAAAATTTGTAATTTCAGACCATCCTACGTGGTTACTGAGTTAGCAAGGCCACCACATAGGCCTCCCCTGAGCTTGTTAGGTTTAGTATGTGTCCCATTTTCGTCCACTTGGGCAAGTTACTGAACCTGTCTGTGCCTCAATTTCCATCTGCATAAAGAGAATAATAATAGTTACATGCCTTACAGGGTTGAGAATTGAACTAATTAATACCCTCAAGTGCTTAGAATAGTGCTGAGCATACAGTGCATGCTCAATTAATGATAACAGAAAAGGCTTGGGTGGGTGGGGGGGGGGAGGGCAGGGCTGAATTAAGAAGAACCAGTTCAGGTGCCAGTGAGTGCCATGGGAAGCTTTTAAAAGGTGGGGCAGCAACATAATCAGATCTTTGTTTTGGAAGGACGGCCCTGGCGGCTGCTGTGGAGGATTGAAGTAAGACAGTGACGGACTCCCGTGATAGTCCCAGAGGCCTGAGCTGGGGCAGGGGAATACTGGTTCTGTGTCTCTGGAGAATGCTAATACACTAAGTCTTGAGAGAAGGAAGAAACATCAAATGCATTCAGTGTGAAAGAGATATGGTCTAAGAGCCTGAAGATCCAGCTTCTGTCTTCTCTCCTTAACCCAGACCATTCAGGATGCTCATAGGAAATGAAAAACCAGGGATGTAATGAGCAGAAGCATTCAAAGCAATAAACATGTCTACCTAAACTTGGTGAGAACCGCACCCCCACACCCCTATTAAGTAATAATTTTAAAAAGAATTCTAATTTACAACATGTGTCATACTAATTTGGGGGTCACTCTACATATATACTGCACCATTACTAGCCATCATGACCGTGGTCACCTCAGATATCAGGAAATGATAACAGGTTCAATTTACACATCAAAATGAATGTATCCTTGAAGGGCAAGTCATTGTTAAGTTTTGCACATGCGTGCGTGCGCGCGCACACACACACACACACACGTCACTCTAGTCTTGAATAGCTTAACTTATACATCATATGTTTTTACTACCATCTGAACAGAGCCACTTCCTTTCTTTAATGCACACTAGAATTGATAGCTTGTCCCCCAGCAAGGCTCCCAATCCCTTCTTCTTCAACCCAACAGCATTTAAAATATTGGGCAATGATTATGAGTGTGTGTGTGTGTGTGTGTGTGTGTGTGTGTGTATGCATGCACTGAACATCCTTACTTTGTTCAACCACTCCTCAATAGTTTCTCATAAAATCTATGCTTGTCACATCCTCATCACTCACCTGGGCAGAATCCAGCTTTAACATACAATCTCCTAGGTTGGTCTCATTTTGAACTCAGCAAGGGTCATCTCTCCGGTATAGGAAGTATAATGTGAGCATTACAGCCAACCATCTACTAATCCAAGCCAATGTTCCTTTAGGACATAAGTTACATACAATACCTTTTTGAGTTTCTGGTCACGTATCTCAGTATAAAAGCAGTTTCCTGGGAAAGGCTGAGTTCAACCTTCTCCCAACCTCCTTCCAAGCCCCAGCCTGTGACGGCGAGTCACGTGGTAAGTGCCAGCCAGACATTATCTTGTGTTTTACTAAGATGAACTTCGGGCTGGAGGAAGCTGATTGAGGCTGAACAAGCCAATATCTCAGTTACAGTTGTGTTTACGGGGAGTGGGGGGTACAGGGAAGGTAATTACATTTTGCTTTTAACAAAATAACTCTAAATCCTCATTAGAAACGAATTGTTCCTGTGATGCTGCAGACACAGCAGTGTCCATGGACATGGCTTACTAAAAATGTTTATCCAGAATTATTCACTTTAATGCACTGTCTTTTGCCTAACTCACCTTTATCTTATTTAAAAAGCAAAGTATTTAACACATGCCTCTTAATACAAGGCACTGACGTTTTTTTGGAAGCAGGTAAGGGTCATAAATAACTGACCATTCCAAGAATGCATTAGATGAGTTTGTAGATTTATGCCGGGTTGTCTGCAGGTTTATGGTTTGTGCTTAGATTTCCTGTTGCCATAATCAGAAATCCAGGGACAATGCTTTAGGGCTGAGTTAATTTCTTTAGTGCATCTTCCAATTAGATCTGTTTTTCTTTCCCTTCATCAACAATGATTGCCTATCAGAGTGATTTGCTTGGAAATTTCTGAACAGGGTCTCTCACATGTTACATTGCTAAGTTTTGTTCCTTGTGATCACTGAATCTATAGTAATCACATGATCACATTTAATATTCTGATGGTTTTATTAACAAGTATATAATACATATATTGCATACTGTATATAGTATATGAGGACTGTACAGTACAAATTTATGTTCACAGTTTGACATGACAAAATGTCATTACTGAATTCCCATTGGACTACAGAGTAGAAACAGAGAAGGTACATTAAACATTCACATCTTTAGTAAGAAAGATTACCAAAATGTTTCAGTATTTGCAAGTATACTAATGCATGCTAAAAACCTTTACCCATTCAGTCTTATTAGCTTATAAAATATATTACACTTTATTAAAAATTTCTGCATAGTTTATACAAGTATTAAAGTACTGTAAATGTAATAATCCTGCTATACTTGCAGGTATGGTTTAAGAGATGCTAAGCAGAAAGATTATTTTGACCCTCTAACACTAAGTACATATCAGCAAAAAAAAAAAAGTGCTAGTATTTGTAAAACATAATATTGTAGCCCTCGTTTAATGCATGGAAAATGGCTTTGTAAATGTATTATTTCATAAGTGGATTTGCAATCATTTAGAAATTGTTAACCTTGACCAAGAAGAGAATAAATACCGCTCTGAGCAACTTCATGTATGACAGTGATTCCTTCAAGATGACAATATTTTCAAACCAATGGATTTACTTTAAAACTTTAGATCTTTGAGATTGTCTTTAAAACAATCTAACCAGGAAAGATGTGCAGATATACAGTATCAGCAATATACTAGTCTTTCAAATTCCACATTAGTGCAACACTGATAGTGCAGGTGGGTGTTTAATAATGAAACACACATGTACATATGTAGTTCCCTGTAAATCTGTCCCGAGGCTCTCGAAGCTTCCGCATGTTTAGCATTTCGTTAGCTGAACGTAGCTATGCTGCTGACATTCTCCAAACAAGGCGCTTCAGAATGTTTAATGCCCATTTACGATGTAGATTCACATTTTAAAACTCTAACATATGATGAATTCAGATTTAATTTTTCTGACACTTGGATAATAACTGAATAAATTCTATAACAATTTATACACTAGCTCCATTCTTACAAATCATTCTCATCAACTTGAATATTGCAATTAAAATCGCCATTGATAGTAAGATGGCACATCACTAAAACCACACACTCAAGGGCATCTTATTTGAGGTCTCCCACAATAACAGCTAAAAATGACTAAGAAACTAAATTTCTCAACTATGATAGTATAAGATACAAATATATATATATATATATATAAAAGGAAAATTTGGAGAGCCAATTGGTAACAAAAGTATGTAGACCAGCAAGGGAACAGAGAATGATGGCTTCTCTGGATGGTTCTTTCAGTTAAAATGGAACTTTGTTAATCAACTGTTAACATAATCTAAGCAAGCTAAGTATAATGTAATAGTCTCTGCAGGGTTTTGCTTGTACTTTTGAACAGAATTTTGATATGCCATAGCAAACATTAAATTTCACTAGAACCCATGAAGCTTTCTATTAATTGGACTCAGACTCAAAGCTCATTATAGAAAGATCAACTCTACCCTTTCTCATCCCCCTTCCCACCTTCTGTGGTTAGAATATACATAAACTGGTTTTCTCCATCAAAACAAAAAAAGTCCCTTGCATTCAAACTTAATTCTTCGGTGTGTTGTGGAAGAACCATTTCAAGAAATAAACACCTTGGCATGAATGTGACTAAGTATTTACAATGCAGACAATACCTACTTTCCCAAGAGCTATTTTTTTTAACCCCTCAATTCATATCTTAGTTGCAACCAAACACACAACAACAAAGAAAAGGCCCAATTAGGATGTTTTAATATTCTAAATGAATTTTGCAGTGCTTAAAAAAAAAGGTAAAAACCAAGTGCCAGATAACAAATTATTTTGCATTTCTGTACATTTCCTTTCAGTTGGTTCAGAGAGCTGTTGAGTGGGACCTCTAGGTGTGCAGTCCTTACAACTACTTTCATTGACATAGCGCCAAAGTAAGCTCCCCACACAATTCGCAGGCCTCAGAATCACTTCTTCACTGATGCTTTGAAAACAGCGTATTCCTCCCAGTTAAAGTTGTATTGGATCCTGAGTTGTGGCTCGGACGAATCTTCAGGATTCCATTCTTCTCTTCTCCATCCTTTATGAAGGGGCATTTGGTCACAGGTGCCCACTTTTGACCACCGTTGCCACTTTCTTCAAATTCAGAACCAAGGCATTTCTACACATGAATTATTTTTATTGGCATTTAGACTATGATGCTCAAAAGCCTACTTTTGAGAAATGTCCCCCAAATAACGGTGCTATTTGTCTTGAACATGAACACGAGTCATTTTCAGTTTGTTCTTCTGACAGGATACTTGGTAGTGAGAGTGCCAGCTCCGACAGTAAACTTTGGGAATTGTTGAGCTACATATATGAATCCCTGAACTGTGATTTTCTATTTTTTAGGAATCTGTCCCCCCAAGTAAAGGTCTGTGTGCTTCACAACTATTTACAAATAGCGTCACTCAGGTCTTAATGAATCTACTTAGCAGATGCTTATCTGTGATATGTGTCATGAACATCAATGACAGCCAATTTGGCACCTTGTCACTCACACAGACTTTCTGTATGAAAGCTGTATGAGTAATTTGATATGGGAATATAATTACCACTCAGCGTTCCCCTGTTTGCAAAAAGGCTCTCAGTAGGTTTGGTAAAGAAGGCCATTCAGACCCCCATCCAAAAGATTCTTCACCATTTCTGGGCAAATATTTTTGTGGCGTCCCTACTCTCAATGCTTGATGATCTATATTAAGGACACTGTAGGACTGGAGGTTGGTACATGGGTAACCCCATCAGTATTTGGCTTTGCTGGACGGTTCTGCACAGTTGAATATGCAGAGACCGAAGTTCTAGGAACGCACCGCACAGCTAACCAAATGATGAAATCTCACTGGAAACCCCTGGCTGGCTTCCTCCTCTGCCCCCTTGCTCAATGCCCCTTTGCTCCAACTCCACTCGATGCAAATACAGCCTCCATCCCTTGAACTGACAGATCACCTCCCTACGTCAACAACTCTAGCTTATCTTCCACTGGTGGCAAAGTCCTCCTTATTAGCTGCAGGCACGAAGGAGGGCAAAGGACTTAATGTCGATGAAGTGATAAATCCAACTTGACAAGCAAGATTGGTGAAGGATAACGGAAGAGCTGACTGAACTCGCCTGGAATCTTGCTGCCCTTCTAGCTGACCTGTGCAGGGGTCCACCCGTCTTTTCTCGGTGCAGCACAAAATGCGATCACAGGGCTCAGAGGTATGACTGTCTCTGGCAAGGACTAGCAGGCTGGATACTGTATTTCTAACACATTTACTTTGACATTCTTTTGAGGAATACATGGACAAACCGACAACTGGTTCTGTTTGTTTACATGTTCCCTTGTTCTCATTACATTAAACTTATCTGTAAGAAGGGTTTGCTTAGCATCCCCGGAAAAAAAAAGTGTTCACATTCTTTAGGTCTGACCCGTGGTAAGGAGGGAGGATTAGAGAATATTTACTACTGACCATATGGAAGTTTGACTGATATAAATTCAGAGATTCAGACCAGCTGAATCAAAATTAAAATGTACATGTAAAAAATGAGTTAGACAACGGGAGGGAGGACAGAGAGAGCTGGGCGAGTGGGGAGCCGCGTGCCGAGGCGGAGACGGAGACATTCAAACTAGCATGTGGCGTTTCCTATGTAGGGCAAGGTGGTCAGAACGGGAGAAGCTGCGGTCACAGTCCGGACACTGGAAAGGTTTGATTCCAGTATGTTTTCGGAAATGTCTTGTTAGTTCATCAGACCGAGCAAACTTCCATGTGCATCCTTCCCATGTACATTTGTAAGGTTTTTCTCCTGCAAAAGGAAAGTGAAAAGAGCTTATTATTATTTTTTTTTCTGATAGAAAAAGACTGTTAATTAGTAAAGGCAGTAAAATTCAAATGTCTGAGCTAAAGCTCTTGACATATATTATTTCCAAGGTATGTTTATCCATTTGTCCCTCAATAACAGTATCTTATAAACCACTACAGGACAAGCAAGAAAACATTAATTCTCTTTAAAAAAAAAAATCTGAAGTCTCTATCAACTGAAATATCTGTTGGGGATTTCAACATCTTAGCTTTTGTTTAATGGATAATAACTATGCCTAAGTATAATGCTTTAATCCGGAAGTACTAACACTATAGTGATGCCTCCCCACCCTGTTACAGCCGGGTGTCTCCCACCCCTCCTGTGGGGTAATGGTCATTTGCAGGTGAGGACAGAAGACCCTTGTGAGAACACCCTAGGGAGAGCCATTAGGAAGACCCTCACAAATGAAAAGGCTGTTAATGGCTAGCTTCCATGTTTAAACCTTATAGACTACCATTCCTTGGCATTTCAATGAGATATTCAGAATTTGTATTCTCTGCTTTGCAGCACAGAATATAAATGCTAAGAGGTATTTTGCCCACATCTGAATTGTTATGCAAACATTCAATTTGGTCTTTTTAATCTTAGGCTGGAATCTGGTAGCATCCACCGCAGGGTTGTCCCATTAATCTCCTGGAGATGCTTTTACGAATCTATTTGACATAGGTTTGGTGATTGGGTGTTCCTCTAAATGCAAGCTGTAGGTAGGTTGATTTTCCCTGGCTTCCTCTCCCCAGAATTCAATGAAAAACTCACTTCCACTGTGCTAGACACTTTCCTGCCCTTTTTTCTTCCAAATCCCAGAGTCTTCTGTTTAAATATTCCTCATAAGAATGACTCATAAGAATAAAAAAAAACAAAACTACATCCTGAGTTAAGAACAATGTATACAGAGGCAAATCCCTATCACACTAGAATTTCATACTGAAGAGTCTGAGGTTGGGTCAGATGTGACCTATAGTAAACATTAATCACCAGTACTTAGTACAATTAATCGGATTGTTTACAACATTTTTACACAATTTCCTTAAGATACTTTGCTACAAAATGTTCAAGAGCCCACGGAACAATTTCACGTTTTCTTCACCTATACAACAATAAGATCTGGCTGTACACTCTGTATTTGAGACTGGGCACGATGGAAAATATTCTAGAACAAATATAGCAGGCAATCACATAGAAGTTCCCTCAGTTTTAGAAGCGGGGATTTACCCAAATTCAGCTTCTATAAACTGCTGCATTTGTTCTGCGTAAAGAGCTGATTTTTACTATTGTGAACTTTATGTACATTTGCCATAGAAGAGCCCATAGGAAGACCACATCCTGGTGAAATCGGCCCACGGTTAAGAGCACTCTCCCCTCTGTTCCACCGGAGGATCCATCCCTTTCTCTCTCCTTCATTGCAGAGTGCAGAGAGACAAGTGATTGGCCTTCCTACAGCGATGACCTTGAATCTATTCTACTTATTACAAAAGTAAATCATAACAAAATACTTCATCTATCATGACAGAGACATCTGTAAATGACTATGGTAACTTTCAGATGCCTGAAAAAAAATCAATAATAACCTCTGAAAGTCAGAACATTTGACTTAACCTTGTAGTCTAATTCTTAGGAAGAAAGCGAGTCTTATATTTCTGATACCTGTATGTGTTCTTCTGTGTGCTTTCAAGTGAGAGCTTTTAGTGTACACTTTGTTGCATCCGTCATAATCACATCTGTGTATCCTTCGCTTCCTTTGGGTGTCTGGAGATTCCACAGGTAAAGGTCTCTTCCCCGGCTGTACTATGACTGAAGGGTGATTCCTGTGAAAGGCAACGTTAAATGCAAAATGTTGAGTGGCAGGCTCTTCCTTTTCTTTAGTCTATCAAAAGCATTAACAACACCGGGCAAAAACAAACAAAACCCAACAAAATAAACAAAAAGAAATTAGCTGATCAACTCAAGAAGCACTGCTATATTCATTCAACAAACATTGAGTGAGCACCTACCATAAGCCAGGCACTGTGCTTGGCACCGGGACACAAAGATGAATAAAAACAGGGTTCCTGCCCTCGAGGAGCTCACACTCTAGGGGGAGACAGACATGTAGATAAGTAATGACAGTAAGAAGAGTTAGGTGCTACGCTGCAGGGAGGTGGGTGCAAAGTGCTAGAAGTCTCTTTGCCTCAATAAAAATTTGCCTGTTTATAGAATGTTGTGGCCCTAGGCAATGCCGGACACTCTACTACTATTCACAGGCCATCCTTACTTTCATTTATTGTTCTTTAGGGAAAGGTCAGATTCCTAAGTCTCAGGCAACCACACTGTAGGAGGTCAGCCCTCTCAGGGACCCCTGACATTCTCCCTACCTCCCTGATTGCTCTCGCCCAGACTCATATCCTGCATTTGCATAAATCAAATCATGTTAAACATCATTACTGTGGACTTCTTTTTCAGAAAGGTAGTTGGAGAGAAAAGGCAGATGGGGAAGAGCTGGGAAAGGTCTGTAGTTTTCCCAGACTTCTGCTGATTAATGTTAAGTAATTAAAATTCCTAATCCATTCATTAATTTTAACCCATTCATTTGCTTTCCTAATGACCAACTACCTGAAACATTACAGTTATGTAGTTGGCCTCCAACTATAACAAAAGACTATTCTTTTAAATTTGAACCTAATTCTGGGCCAGTGGGGCTCAGTGGTTGAGCGTCGACCTATGAACCAGGAGGTCATGGTTCAATTCCTGGTCAGGGCACATGCCCAAGTTGTGATCTTGAGCCCCAGTGTGGCATGCAGAAGGCAGCCAATCAATGATTCGCTCTCATCATTGATGTTTCTACCTCTCTCTCCCTCTCCCTTCCTTTCTGAAATCAATAAAAAAATATGTATTTTTAAAAATTTGAACCTAAAGTTCTTAAGATGTTCCACATAACATATGAATATTTTATACAAGTGTGCAAAGGGAGAAAAAAGATTGGTGAGAAGGAAAAAAGGAATTTAATGAGATTTAAAAAAGATAATAAAATTTAATTATATAAATCAAAAGGGAATCCCTGAAATGAAACTTGATTTTTTTATCTTGGTTAAAATTTACATACATGTCTTTTATCAGTAACTTTTTCAGGCATGCTAGGAAGCAACTAGAAAGAAAATCAAAGCCGTATTTAAATGACCTCACATTTTCTCACTTTTATTATTAGCAAAGAAAACTGTCACTTTACCTTCCTACCCTGATGCTTAGAGGGGCGATACAGAAAAACAAATGGCCAAGTTTAAATACATGGAAAAGTGAACATGAACTAGTGAGGGGGGGAAAAGACAAGACTTAAATTTTATAAATATACAAACAGAGAAAATAGAGAAGTGAGAAGTTTATGAACAGATATAGTTTTTTTTTATCAATTTAAAATTCTTCAATAAAAAGGAAAAGGTTATCAGTTTATTTTTAACTTTCAACTTTAATTCCACTGATTGAAAATGTTTCATCTTCACTAAGAGACCTTCAGGAAATAAAATTCTGAGGAAAAAAATGATTAAATGTATCTCATGCTCTGGGATACTGAAAGAGTATTAGATGATTTTAGAAGTCTCTCCCGATTGTTAGATTTTATGGGTTGCGAATCAGCCTAATAGTTTCTGTGCAGTAGTTAAAGAATGTGTTTTCCAGTTGCTTGTTGTGTGCATAAAGGTATGCTAAAGAGCTGTGTGCTCTAGCTTAAATCCCAGCTGACAGTCCCAGCTCCGGAGCAGATAGCCCCTGGGACCCTGGGGGCAAGGTGTTGATATCTGCTCTGTGGAATGGGGAGAATGATATGATCTGGGAAGGTGGTTGTGAGTAATGTACACAAAGCATTTAAGAACAATATGTGGCCCAGCTGGAGTGGCTCAGTGGTTAAATGTTGTCCTGTGCACGGAAAGGTTGCCCGTTTGATTCCAGGCCAGGGCTCATACCTGGGTTTTCGGTTCAGTCCCTGGTTGAGGCACATACAGAAGGCAACCAATTAATGTTTCTCTCTTCCTCTTCTCCCTTCCCCTCTCTCTAAAGTAAAAGATATATATATTTTTAAAAGAGAACAATATCTGTTCCAGATGTAAATCTACTCAATGGTAGCTGTTCATAATTCAAGGTTCTGAAATCTATTTGTAAATGTAGCCCCTACATTGTTTAATTTCATGAAGCGTGTTTTTTTGTTCTTTTAATGTCTCCACACCGGATCAGGACATCTCTATACCAGCTAACATCTACCTCAAAAGGCACCATCATTCTGAGGGTGGTGAGCAGCCCCATCTCTAAAGAGCCAGATGTTAGTATAGGCTGAGGCTAGAGATCAGGATCTTGGGATCTCACCCTTCTTGGCCTCCTCACTACTCATTTTAAAAGAGGCCGTTTAGGAACATTACAACCAAGAAGTTAGAACAACTATTAAATATCAGAGACCTGGTCATTGTTTTGAGCTAAGCCGACCTCTCAAGTTTGCTACCAATCATATACACAACTAAATGGAACAACCTGATCCTTAAGCTGTTTGATTTTTCCTTCTTAAGCTGTTTGTTATACATTTTCACACATGCAAATATACAGCAGAAGCAATTTTATATACACTTGAGTGCCTTTACAAATAATTCTAGAGCAAGTAGCTCCATGATCAAGCAAATGGATTTCAAAGCTGTGTTTTGAAGTCTGCCTCTAAAGAAAGGTTTTCTTGAGGCAAAGATTGGGGCTGCCTCATCACAATGCTACTAGGCGCTTGGTTTCAAATGATTCCTTCCTGGCTAGCTGGTTTCCTATGGGGGCTGCTACTGGGCACACTCCAAGACATTACTTAATCACATCTGTGAGAAAATCACTTGAAGAGTACATGTCCCAGTTGTGGCTAATCTGTTGAGTTTTTTGAGAAGCAAAATGCATTCTTGGGTCAGCATTAGACTAAGCATCTTGCTCATTAATCATTAAAAGCCATCCAGCTTGAGATCATCCAAAGAACATTACTTAAAATAAGAAAGAAGAGAAAAAGTATTTTATCTTCAGCAGCATTCAGGGCACAGCATATTATTGCTTTCAAATATCCTTCTTCCATAATGCTTCACACTGTAGTTCCTAATAACCTGGGCTTTGGAATAACCCCATTCAGTCAATGGATCACTCCCTATGTGGGCAATTGGTTTTAGAGCATCTTTTCCATCATGTGTGTAGGAACAATTACAAGTGCAAGTCATATTGCCAGTTACCTTGCCAGAGACACCCGGCATCATAAATAAAAGCAGCAGTGCAGCCGACATGATGTGTCCATTTTGGATAGTTTGTTTTTTCCTTTCACTTGAATGCATGAGCAGATGCAATCAGCTAGATATGGGTTAAAAATGGCAGGAAGAGCCCTCATCTGGGTGCAGGAGATCAAGCCCAGGCCCCTCTTGCTGTGAACAGTGTGATTACAGGCGAGTTATCTAATGTCTGGCTCCTCAGTTCTCCATTTCCTGTCTCCCATATGCTTGTTATGGGAGAATAAAAGTTGGAAAAGTTTTTTCACTCCTTTGGGGGTGAAGGGGGTGCAATTTTGAAAAGCAGTAATGTACAAGTCCATCAGACACTCTACTACCTATGTGGCTGGGCAAGAAAATTCATTCTCCACCTATCAGCAAGTATATGACAACAACAAAAATTGACTGTGATTTGGTTCACTGAGCAATTAATACGTGAGCTACTATAAGGGCATCTACTTGGGTTGAATGTGGATACAGTTAGAATATTTGGAATTCCAGTAAAATCAGAGGATTCATATTCTGTTGCAGATTATTAAGTGTTTAAGGGAGAGGGGTGGAGAAGATCAAGTAGCCAGGTGGGCAGAACATGTGTTTAAGTTGGAGAAAAGTGACTTGGGAGGCAATTGTTGCCTCAGTACTAGGAAGCTGGCCACTAAATCCAATGTGAAAAGCACCAGAACACAAGACAATTATAGCAAGAAAAATAATTATGGCCAATAATGAAAATAAAGAGGAAAGAGGCAACAAGATTAAACGATTAGCCCAAGGTCACACGTATGGTAGGGAGCGGAGCTGGGATCCAAGATGTCAGACCCAAAGACCAGTTTCTGAACTACTTCAAACACAGCTTCCGGTAAACTTCAAGGTTACCTACAGTGGCAATCCCATCAGTGATATTATTTAACCTGTGTGTGGCACTGTCATATTACAGCAAGTTAAACGTAAAACAAACCACCATTCAGGTGGTTGGTTGCTGACCAACACAGCCTGAACTTTCCCCTCCATGGCAGTCCCAAAGCAGACGGAACATTCTAGGCAGGGGCAGGCAGGATTTAAACGACTAGAGAATAAGCTGTGTCATGGCTGGGCTTCTCTGAGCTACATGGTCAATTTCTGTTGCCACCACTTGTTTACAGGACTTGTGTTGGAGTGTCTTTCTTGGGCTTGTGGTTGGCCTGAAGATTTTAATGCAAGACATTCCTCATCCTGGAGACAGGAGACTCTATTGGAAGTGATAAGTAGGAGTACGACATGGGTCCATATGGAGTTTTCATGATCCAACCTTGAATATTTAGAACACCAAATTCAATCCACGGTGGGATTAAGATTCTGGAAAAACTATGTGTGCAGTCTGGAAGAGTGAACAAATAAGATAAAAACAATATATGTGGTAAGGTGGCAAAATCATGGGTGACCAACTCAGTGGTAACTGGAAGTCATTGTCATAATGCTGTCCGTGTAACAGAGCATTGTTTTTGGAGATCCCCTCATCTTGCCCCGTGGCTGCCACATGCTACAGGGCGTTCCTGGCAATCCACACACCACACAGTGGAACCTGGGCTTCCATTCCAGGTCCCGAGATGCATGCTGCTACGCAAATGCTGGGTAGACCTAAATATACTTACTCTTGCAACAATGCTTGCGGGGGGGACACTGAGTTCATTAAAGGGGGTGACATTTCTTCAGGATAATAATCTGTCCTCTGTGGTTCGATCCCAGGTTCTATTTTAATTTTTTTCTGTAATATAGGCTTCTCATATGATTCAATTACAGGTACTAAAAAAATAAAAACAGAAAAGTCACTGTGTGTACAATTCACCAATTTCAGCTTTTAAAAAAGCTTATTGCACAGGTCCCATCTATAACACTGATGTGTGACTATTTATCTGCCTTTGGCAAATTAGAGCAGCAATGAATCTGAGGGGGGTTCTTGTTTCTCTGGCCCATTATTTTGCCAGTAAGCAGTGTACCTAGGAAACTGGACTTTTAAGACACCAGCCCCCAAATGATTCTTCCTTATGACTTTTTATTATCTCCTTTTAACCCCAGTCTTCTGCCCATGACCACTCGATAAACAAGGTGCTTTTAATAGCCCCGAGTAATCACCACGATCTAAAGGTATTTATTAAATGCCTCTTTGCACCTAGAACCGTATTGGCATTCCATGAAGCAAAATGTAAAGTCAAGATTCCTGCCAGCCCAAAGTTGACAATTACATAGTGAAAGTAATCATTTCATAGCTTTAAACAGACAGCCTGATTCTTGGGAGCTCTTCCAGTATCAACACTTTAAGGCAAAAAACACACACACAAAAGGAAATGCCTCAGGCAGACGCTAAGTGGGATATTTCCTTTGAAGAGCTTGGCTCTGCTTCCTTCACCCTCCCCAGGCTGTCTGGTGAAGACACTGGAGATTCCGAAATTTACCTTGCATGCTACTGTTTGAGTTTTCCATCTCCTCGGACAGGGACACCATGAGCGGCTGCTGGAGGTGACTGGTGTACATGAAGGGGACGGGCTGCACCACGACGGGCTGTATGACCGGCAGGATCCCCGGGCTCCGAATTCCGTGCCTGGACAGGGCAGCGGCCATCACCGGCGGCATGGACAGCGGCATGCTGAAGGGCTGCACTCCCGGGGGCGGGGGTGAGTACTTTTTCATGGGCGGGCTGGACGATGGCATGCTCAACCCGGGCGAGGCTCTCCGGTGCGAGGACTGGAACTTCAGTGAGGAAGGAGAATTCCCAGCCGAGGGCGGTGAACTCCGCTTGTTGACAGTCAGGTCCACCGGCTCCATCTGCATCCCGTGCGACAGGACTTCCGGGGTCTGAAAGAACTTGTCGGATAATGGTGTGGAGTAGATGACTCCATACTTGCTGGGCTTTATGGACTCCATGTAATTAGATGGGTATGACTATTGGAAAGGAAAAAACAACATGGGAACCGCCAAGTAAGTACATTTGCTTCAAACACAAATTAAGATGCAAAATTCTTACCAACAACAGGTTATGAAACAGAAGCCTTGTGGGCTTTAATCATTAGGAGTCAGCGTTGGGGTTCACCAAGAACCAGCCAAGCCAAGTAACCTCGTTGCTTTTCTGACGGAGCTTCTTAACTGGCAGGAAATGCCCTCTCTGGCTTTAGTGTGTACCCTGGCGGCAGGGCACTGAACATTTCTCATGATACGCTTTTTATAACATGAAGAAACAGAGCTGCATGTGGGCTGGAGCCGCTGACGAATCCATGCCTGGGACATCCAACTGCCCTGATTTGCCCGGGACTATCTTGGCTTTAGTATTAAAGTCCAACGACCTAGGAAATGCCTCAGTCTCAGGCAAACCAGGATGGTCGGTCACCCTACACGCCTAACACTGAAGGCTACCCACACTAGGGTAACTATGTCCTTGGCCCCAACTTGTTCAATGGTCTACGCACAGTTTGAATGAAGGTGTAGAAGATGACCCGATTTATACATTTGTGGATGACACAGAACTGTAAGAAACAGCTAATATAATATGACTCAAATCAGGCCACCTGATGCTCAAAATGAGGGAGGCCCAGTGTTCTCTACATCTTGCTCCCACTCTCAAAAGCTAAGCTAAGAAGATATTAAAAGAGAGACAAAATGGTTTGTTTCCTCCCAAATCTAAGATCTGTTCTACAATTGACCTACTTTACCTTCAAATACCCTTCTCTCTTCTAATATCAGGATGACCTAACTCATCTACCAGCTTTAAATATAAAAAAAATCACAACAATTGCATATTCTGGTTCATGTTCTTGGCCATGGAGTTCACTAAAATTGCTCCATTCCTTAACTATAATTTAAAAATGAGTACTTGCTGTAGAATGCTTTAAAAAATTAAACACCAGCCATTTTCTATACATGCACGCATTTTAGGGAAATTTTTAATAACCACATGTATAGTCCTCCTGGAGAAAATTACTCGTATTTGAATCTTTTACAGTGAAAGTGATAAGCAATATACTGTGCCTCTCTTCCAGCTCTTTTAAAAACATTTTATTTATTTATTGTGTTTTAGAGAGAGGAAGAGAGGAAGGGAGGGGGGGAGGAGAGAGAGAGTTATTTTTGTTGTTCACTTACTTATGCATTCATTGATTGAGTCTTGTATGTGCCCTGACTGGGGATTGAACCCACAACCTTGGTCTATCAGTCTTCCAGCTCTTAAATCCTATGTGTTTATGATTCTGAGGCAATACTAGCTCCTGATGCAGCTGAGAAAACCCACCAATGGGGACTTGTACTTAAATGACTGAATGCACTGTTAATTTCTGAGCTTCCCCAGACACTCCAGTGGCCACTATTGTGAGTTACAAGTCATTGTGGGGTAGCAGTGGTTTTGACGGGGCTTATGACAGAGATCCCACGCTTTCCTCTCTGGGTCTTGCTGGATGGCTCTCTACCTGGCTATGCATCAGAATCACTTGTGCTGTTTTGAAATGCAGACGCCTGGCCTCTACTGCAGGCTGACCGAGCATGAAGTATCAGGGGAAAGGTCCTAGGCTGTATTTTCAGTTCATTCGATTTTGATCTTTTAAAGTTTCTCATCTTTAAGATTAAGTACTTTGTTCTTTCGTCCTTTCTTTATCCATATCATCATAATCTGTATGGTCTAGAACAGTTGTGGGCAAACTACGGCCCGCGGGCCGGATCCGGCCCGTTTGAAATGAATAAAACTAAAAAAAAAAAAGACCATACCCTTTTATGTAATGATGTTTACTTTGAATTTATATTAGTTCACACAAACACTCCATCCATGCTTTTGTTCCGGCCCTCCGGTCCAGTTTAAGAACCCATTGTGGCCTTCGAGTCAAAAAGTTTGCCCACCCCTGGTCTAGAACCATGGCAAGCAAACTGCGGCTCGAGAGCCACACGCGGCTCTTTGGCCCCTTGAGTGTGGCTCTTCCTAAGCCTTAGGAGTACCCAATTAAGTTAATAACAATGTACCTACCTATATAGTTTAAGTTTAAAAAATGTGGCTCTCAAAAGAAATTTCAATCGTTGTACTGTTGATATTTGGCTCTGTTGACTAATGAGTTTGCTGACCACTGGTCTAGAACAGTGACGCCTGCGGCCTGGCACACGGTGAACATACAGTGCTTTAAAATAGATGTTTATTTAAATGCATATGAAAAAACTTTTTTTTTTACAGTAGTGATATAATGTTCCCTGTTAAAAAATTATGTTAACAAAAGCAATTCTATAAAAGAGGGCAAGAAATATTACTAACTAAATATTAGCAGTACAGGTGCCACATCAGGATATGGCAAAGCTCCTCCTAGAAGGTTGTGAGGCTAAAATCAAAATTGGATTCAACGAGGTAGCCTATGTCTGAGCTTAAACACCCTGCGGCCCTATGGTTCCCTTCTCTTTTCTCATACAAGGAGTGCACTAAATGGGCTTTGATCCTCCTAATCAGGGCTTCACAAATTCACTGGGGATCTTGTTAAACTGTAGATTCTCAATGACTGGGAGGTGGCAGAAGGTGCACAGACCGCCTTTTGAATGGCACGGCTCTCAATAACAGACACAGAATAAGAATACTAATTTTTAGTATTAAAATCTGGTATATCACTTAAAAACAATTTAAAGAGGGGAGGGAAGAATATGCATTAATAAATCTGCTTAAAAGCAAAGACATGAAGGAAATAAAATCAGGAAATCCAAAATATATAAATTGTTGTTTTTAAAAACAGCTTTGAGTTATGTATAGAGAATCAAATGAAGAAAAGACTATTTCTAACTTTCTTCAGACCCAGGCACCCCACAAGGTGTGAGGGCTCCAAACATACAGCAATATTAACATTAAATATGTTAAAATTGAAATATTGAAAGAGGCACAAGACACATTAACAAAAAAAAATATTACAAACTGTGTACAATGAGGGTTTAAGGAAGTAATTAAACATGGGGGGTGGAATGTCACCTGGTTCTAAAGTTTAATCTGCTTTACATATAATTCTCTAAAGTGCAAAAGCTCTGATACTAGAAACAAAAAGTCAGGAGATGGGAGGCAGCATTAGTTGACTCTACTCACCAAAATGTAGCTTCTCCCTTATTGTCAGCCCTATTCTTCCAAGAGCTCCCTATGACCTAGATTTTAACGCCAAGTTATTGGCAGCTCAATAGGAAGCAAAACGAGGACACGCTTTTATTGCTGTCATTGCTGAATTTTTTTTTATCTGTGGGTGAGTTTAAGGAAAGTAGGAATTTAGGACCCGGGAGATTGGCAAAGTTAATAATATTCCCAGGTTTCTCACGCCATGAAGGAAAAGAGACAGCCATACAGAAAGCCAAGTATTCTAAACACGATGCAGTTTTGCTTCGCGTCTGCTCTCCAGCGAATGACCCCTGTGCCCTACGCTGACTGCTGTGTGGTGTTTGCGAGGCCACAGGGCTAAAAGTAAGGAGACACCTTTGGGCACAGCGGAGCACACAAGTAACTCTTTCCAGTCCGGCCGCCTCACGAAAGGGTGAAGACATGTGGCTCCTCAAACTGTCTCACTAGCACATTTCCTAGCAATGTTTATCAGAGCCTTCGGATTACTGGGGTGGAGCACACAAACTACTGCCATCAGCTCGCAACAACCTGGTGCCCCACCGTGGAAGGACTGATGCGGGGTTTGCTCCGGGTGTGCACACCCTGGTAAACAGTTGCTTCCTTTCTGCTCCAGACCATTCCTGTCTTCTAACTAAGCAATGCAAATAGGCGTGGCCGCCCGGGCCCCTAATCCGAATCAGAGGCAAGTATAGAAAAGCGCCTGTGGCCACTGAAGGACATCCAATGCCACCCTCCCCTCCCCCTTCCACATGCTCAGCCAAGGAGGCTCCGTGTGCTGAAGCCCAGCAGCCTGGAGACAGGGCTCACGCAAGGGATTCTCCCCCTCCTTCCATCCGGGGGTGGTACTGGGTTTACTTTTCGAAAAGGTTTGGTTTGGGACACTTTTCCAAAGCTATCACATAATACTCAAGTGAGAATTTCAATAGTTCCTTATTTTATTGGGAATACTTTTGGTGAAGTTTCCATTACAAGGGAGTTAAAGTGGATAAAATCTCTATTTCACTATTTGTGAATATGAAAAAGAAGTGAACATCCGTGACAGGGCGATGGCAAGTCAAAGGAATCTTCATACGAAGGGTGGGGCTCCCAGGGCAGAAAGGCGTGGTGCGTGTATAAACACACACTCTGGAAACTGCAAATGTCATGCCTCTCTATGCAAACACAAGCAGAAAGCTCCCTTTCTACCAGGCGCGGGAGAGCCGTGAAAAGTTCCTGCTGGAACAGAGCAGAGGAACTGTTAAGTGCTTCTCAGTCTGTCAGGAGTCTGTTAGATAACAATTTTCATTTAAAAAAAAAAAAAAAGAAATGTACTTTCTTCAAAAGTAATCTTCCTGTAGGAACAGAATAAGAAAGAATACTTTTTAAAAATTTGTTTTCTTTCTCATCTCCTGAGTTAAATTCTTTAACTTTCTTTGGAAATGAATTGGTAAAAACAATTCCTTCACATGCACATTTTACATTCATTCACATGATGTCTACGGTTTATAAATTATAATCTCCAATTTTACAAATAATAATAATTTTTAAAAAAAGGCTCAGGCAGCTGCTGGCAGTTTTGCCAACTTTGCATTGAGAGTAAGTAGCAGAGACCCAGGCACAGACCTGAGCAGGCAGGGTCTCCTCTCCTGATTCTTGCACCTTCTAATAAGACAGTATCAAGCTCTAACCGGTTTGGCTCAGTGGATACAGCGTCGGCCTGCGGACTCAAGGGTCCCAGGTTTGATTCCAGTCAAGGGCATGTACCTTGGTTGCAGGCACATCCCCAGTAGGGGGTGTGCAGAAGGCAGCTGATCGATGTTTCTCTCTCATCGATGTTTCTCTCTATCCCTCTCCCTTCCTCTCTAAAAAATCAATAAAATATGTTAAAAAACAAAAAGACAGTATCAAGCCTGACTATTTGCCTCAAAGCACAGGATGGTAGGAAGGCTTATATGGGGTAAGTGAGAGATGACATTTCCTCACTTTCTCTAAATTATAGCAAAATACCAAATAGGCAGATTGCTTCTGCTATGCTCTCATTTTAAGAAAAAGGGGGGCAGGGAGGGAAGATAAATCACCATAAGATATTTTTATTCTATGTGGAATTAAAACAAAATTCCTCTTACAAATTATTCTATACAGCCTTAATGTTTAAAACATAGACTTGAATAACCAGACTTCAACCTTCAGATCAAAGATGGAACTAAGAAGGAAAAAAAAAGGAATAAAAAAATAAGAAATTAGATTTCATACACTCCACCTACAAAGGCAGGAGAGATGAAATTTGAAGATTTAAGAGTAAAAACAGCCTGGATGGCGTGGCTCAGTGGTTGAACCTCGACCAATGAACAGGAGATCACGATTCGATTCCCTGTCAGGGCACGTGCCTGGGTTGAAGGTTGCAGGTTTGATCCCCAGTGGGGGGCCTGCAGGAGGCAGCTGACCAATGATTCTCTCTCATTGTTGATGTTTCTCTCTCTCCCTCTCCCTTCCTCTCTGAAATCAATAAAAATATATATTTTTTAAAAGAATGAAAACAAAAGCTTATTTAATTTTGTTAAGAAAATAATCACAGCCGAAACCGGTTTGGCTCAGTGGATAGAGCGTCGGCCTGCGGACTGCAGGGTCCCAGGTTCGATTCCGGTCAAGGGCATGTACCTGGGTTGCGGGCACATCCCCAGTGGGAGATGTGCAGGAGCAGCTGATCGATGTTTCTAACTATCTCTCTCCCTTCCTCTCTGTAAAAAAATCAATAAAATATATTAAAAAAAAAAAAAAAAAAAGAAAATAATCACAGCACCCTAGTCTCCAAATTTTTCAGTTAACGGAGATTTCACTGAATTAAAAAGGAACTTCACTGTAAGGACAGACACTAACTGTTGGTGAAACAAACTAATTTCTGTGAGAGTTAGCTGAAGTTGCAAACTCGAGCATGAAGGAGAAAATGACCATTATTTGCAAAAACACTTCTATATATTCTAGGTTCATGTATTAATCTTCAAGTGCATTCTACTTCCTGTTTTCAGTTAAGTGCGTTTTCTTGCATTTAATTACATCATAACTAACTTAGCAATGTGTAGCTTCATTCTTAGCTTGAAATTAGGCTCTGGAGCCCTCCTATCTCCATGCTTGCTTAAAAGCACTGGAAGTACACTGAATAGTAAAATGCGTCATTGATGGTTCTGCATCATTTAGAAAATTAATCATACTCTCCGGTACTAAAAACCTATTTATATTTCAAAGATGTAATTAATGGGAGAAATTTTACACCTTAATTTTCCTCCAATGTGACCATGCCATAGTTGGGGGAAGGGTTGAGGAATGCGATGACAGCACTGAGTAACATCAGAAGTCAGTTCGCTGTTTTGATTAATAAAATTCTTATTGCCCAGTTTTCATATTCAGACACTCAGTTATCCAGTTATTATGCTGGAATGTAAATGTTATTTCCTCAAAGCCACTCTGACTTAACTTTTCATTGCACCCAGTGATAAACACTTCACTGGCTTCCTAACAGCCATGGCAACTCAGTTCCAAGGGCCTCTGACTGACCCCCGTGTGTTGTATAAACATTTTTGGCAGGAACCCCCACAGCCAATGCATAAGGATGATCTAATTTTGCAAGCGTGTCATTACCAACCTTCTCATATGCAACTCAGGCCAAGTTTTCCCCCTTGTGAATATTTTTCAAGCCCGTGAAAGGAAAGAGCAAGATAGAGTGAGAGAATTGCCTTGTTACTTCATATTTGCTAAACCAGATCCCCTCAAGTCTAAGCCACTCCCTGCTTTGCAGTGGGACACACCTTTCTGTTGTCACCCAGGTCCCATAAACACTTGGACTAATTACTAGTCTCCCGGTGGCCCAAAAGCAGCATCTAGAAGGTTCCGGCTCACAGAGGGGCCAGCTTAGCACTAGGTGCTGAAAAAGACAAGGAACACAATTCCCACCCACCCAGACTCTTCCAAGTGAAATAAAATTCCTCCTCCCCGCCAAGTTCTTTCTTTCACTAGCTTCTCTCCAGGCATCTCTCACAGTCATAGCTCCATATCGCTGTTGTCATAGTTTTTCAAGCAAACCATTTTATTCTTAATACACTTATTTTTACATGTAAAAGGACTGAGTAGTTATTTTATTTTCATCTTTTAAATCAGCTCTATGGAACACACCCTAAACACTATGAGACCCAATGAATATCTTTTTCTTCCACTATTAAAAAAAGGAAAACCTCCAACATGTTTGAGAAATTCTTCTATATAATAAGGGTGGTGATCTTGAGTAAAAAAAAAACCAAAAACACCTCTAAGTCACCTGTATCATATTCTTGATGCTGATTTCTTATAGGTACATTCAGATATTGCTTCCTCACCATGGTAAACACTGCCCACAGGTTTTGAAAAATAATGTCCCTGAGTAGGAAGCCGGGCTGAGCAGCTGGCCCTGGAGGGAGGCCACAACTTGACCACCACCTGTGATGCCTCTTAGGCCTGCATCTCGGCTCTGTGCAGCATGGAGCTACAGCCCTTAGATGAGACAGCCTTACAGCAAAAGCTGAACATCGACCATCGATGCCGTGGCCACGCTAGAGAACGCCATCGAGATCCAGAGCAAACACTGGAGTTGTGTGCAGAGGTCTGCCACTGGTCTGGGTCGTTCCCTACGGGAGGCCCAGGCAGGTGAGAGGGAGGAGGCCAGACTGTGAGCGCCATGGCCATGCCATCGAGGGGGCCTAGCAGGCGCAGGCTGCTGCAGCAGGGAGCACAGCCCCAGGCCAGCAGAGGAGCCTGGGGAGCAGGATGCCCTGTGACTCCCCGACCCCCATCCCTCTGGGCTTCATCATTGTGCTTTTGTTCATTTTTTTTTCTATTAAAAACAAAGTCACATTCAAAAAATTAAAAAAATATAATTAATTTAAAAATGTCCCTGGGTGCACATTAATGTAAAAAAAAAAAAAAAAAATCAGCCTAGCCAAACTTTTTTTTTAATGTTTTGACCAACAATCCTGAGAGCTCCAACTAAAAACTCTGGAAACTGAGGAGTTTTTGTAAACCTACTGCTGTGGCCCAAGTTCTGTGCTGACCGTATGCTGAGGAATGTGGGGCACAGGCCTGAAGGAAGCATAGATCCCATTTATTGAAGGATGCACAGTGGCTAGTAGGGTATGAACCTCACTGACTACCAGGGCCTTTGAAAAATTTACCTACCAAATGCCTGTTTAGTAATGAGTAACTTTAAGAAATAACGTAACACATGACAATAGCATTACCACTTGGAATAAATAAGAAAATGTTCGATTTTGGAAAACTTACCACCGAGACAGGGTCCATGGCCTCTTGCTTGACAGGAACTGGGTCAAACATGAGCATTCTTTTAGTTAAAGCTTTCTAGGGTGCTCTGGTGTTTGGCCTGGAAAACAAAACAAAGTGTCCATCTAAATCCCAAGGTTACTTTAAATAAAAACTAGTAAAAATAAAACATTCTTCTCTGCTCCCTCCTCTCTCCCGCCCCCCGAATGGCTGGAATTTGTGTCCCTTACCTATGAAAGATGCCATTTTGCATAATTAAAACCAGACTCCATGGTCATAACCAGATGAGAGCCAATTGGCATTCCTAACTCAAATACATAAACCCGGACATTTCTGGAACAATAGTAAAGCCCTTTCCAAGCAGTAAATCTTAAGACTGTAGTGCAAACTCAACAGAAGTTCACATTATATATGAGTGTCAAACACTTTTCCTTACAGAAAAGTCAGGGGAAAAAAGACAAGCAAAAAGAAAACCTAGAACCTACCATCATTAATATCTTTGTTTTTATCCTTACAAATTTTTTACATGGGATTATAGTATGCACAGAATTTAGTATCCATGATTTCACTTGACAATTTATGAGGAGAATGTTTCTTTTCGGTAAGCATGGTTCCATACCATCAAATTCAGTATGTCACATCAGTTTATGTAAATTATCCCTTTTTCCTGGGCACTTAGGTTGCACATCCTTAATTTTTAAAGTAAGTTTTAGTCTTGGGTGACAAGCATGGACATTTTCCAAAGCATATGATATACCATCCAGCAAAGATACTGTATTATTTCCATCAGTAAAACAGAACCCGTTTCCCAATCCCAACATTTCTACCAGTAACCTGTATTATCACTTAAAACAAAACAAAATTCTGCCAATTTGCTAGTATCAAAATGGCAAATTATTTTTACTCTAAATGGATTTAATTACTGAATTAAAATTTATCATTTACATTTCTTCTTTTAAGAAATGCCTATTCAGGCCTTGAGTTCTCAGGTCCCCCCCTCCCCCGACTGTTATTGTTTTCTAAGCACTTTTTATATGTGAAGAATATTAGCTTGTATTCACTCCCATTCTTTTGCAAATTTCTCATTAGAAAATCAGACACTCTTTAGCCAGATGCAGCTTGTCCTTGTTCAGTCTCTCTCTTCCCTGCTTCTAATATTCTGCTCGTTATCCATGTATTTCCTTCTTTGTTCTATACTAGTCCACTTGTACCACTAGTCCACATAAAGCCAACTGCTCCCTCACAGGACAGAACATTCAGTCTGCTCAGTCCCCAGCCGCACTTCACAGGTGATGGAATCACCGGCCCCGCTACTACTCAGATCTTCAGCCATCTCTTCAGGCACTTACTATCCAAGTTTGGTTTACATTTTAGAGGTGAAGTCTTTATAGATCACTTGGTTTGGGTGGAAAAGTGAACAAGTTCTAGACTGAGTTCTACCTAAAGAGCTGAGCAGTCCCTGTTCCGCGATTACTTCCTATGTCTTAGCATGAAAACTCCCCATCCCCATCCCACCTCCTGACAGTAATCTGTGGTTTGCTGGGTCCATGCCCTATGGGTTATACTAAGATAGCTCCACATACAATGATAGCAGTAATACCATGTTGTTCTTGCGTTTCATTGCTTCCTTGAAGAAAGTCTCTCCTGGGTCTCGGGACAACCTGTGAATATCATTTTTAACTCAACCTAAGGCCCTGACTTCAAAATCCTGTTTTCCTACATCATAGGATGTACTGTAATCTGTGAAGACAATCTGATACCAGGGTGCTCAAATCAATGGTGAGTGCTACCACCCTCACGTCTTCTGGCAAGAACAAACCCCAACAACCAGTGAAAAATGAATGATTTCATGATGAAGGATGAAAACCCCTTTTGTGCTTTGAGATCTATTATTAACCAGTTCCCAGCGTAGCAGCTGTAGATAGATGTTTCTAAAACTTGCTGTCCAGTGTCCTATACTGGACCTTAAACAAAAGATGTGCTTATAGCAATGAGGTCAGATAATTCAGCAGCTCTGACCCATGGCTGGCCACCCCTCCCCCAAGCCTTTTAAATGGAATTAATCCTTATAGATCCACCCACTCCTCTGACAGTATCTTGATGCAAATCCTTCTAAATAAAAGCCCCCAGATTCTCAGGTGTCTAAGGAAAAGAGCCCAGGTCAGGAGACTCATGAATTGCATCTAGCCCTCCCATGGGGCAACTCCTTTCACATGTAAAAGGACATCTCTTTAATCTACTTCCTAAAATCTGTACCCACAATGTTTTAGGAAAAGAAAATTAGAATTAAGACAAAACAAAGCAAGCTCTAAATAGTTTATATCAATAGATATGCACTCAAATTTTTTATATATATATATCCTGTACAGAGAGCATTAAATTTGTTGGTTCCAACTTCTGGAACACCATCAGGCATTTGCCTCTTTGCTAACATGACATTTCAGAAGTAATATAGTTGCGTATCACCACCCTTCAGTCCTCTGTGCTTTATTAGAGGTCACCCCCCGCCCCCTTTTTTAAACACCCTCAGATTAAAGTCGCTGTAAGAGCTCACAGCTGCCTATGTCCTCCATGAGATCTCATTAAGGGCCGGATCACTTTACAACTGCACCACGGGAAGAGCTTCCTAGCCTCTCCTCACCTCACCTGCACCCTCTCCTCTCCTCCCAGTGAGAGCGGCACAGTGGACGTGCGATGATGGGCTCTGGAGTTCATTTTGGTTCAAATGCTAACGCCACCATTTAGCCCATAAAGCCTTAAATCAATTTTCCTAATGACCACTGAACCCATTTAGAAATGAATTACACGTTAACCTGCTCGTTCTTGTATCATTTTGAGACATTACTTGTTACTTTCATTCTTTAATTTTTACGTTTTATCTAAATTTAAGGAAATTAGTGCGCTGCAAGACTTGCAATCCTAAGAGAGAAAAGTCTAATAGAAAGCATCTGTTTAACCAAACCTGATTTACTTTTATTTTAAAAAGTGCTGTAAATGCATGTTCCCATTTCTTCAGACTGTGCCTTAGAGAAACTCAGTAGTGACGGAGGGAATATTAGTATTTCCCATTACAGAAGTATTTCAGCTAATAAATGAAGAAGGAATGGGAGGATTAGAATACCTCATTTCGAAACTCCTAACTAAATAATGCATCACTGGATAACAACAACAACAAAAAAGTCTGTGCAAAGTTCAAATATCACTAGGAACAGAATCAAATCTAACAGCACATTGTTCCCTACGTGGTAGCTTCTAAAATGACCGGTTATGGTTATGCTTTTAGTGCTAGTCGCAGGATAGGGAACAAGATAAAGGGCATGCAAAGAAAATGATGTACCCTAACCTGTTAACAAGGGCTTCCTGGGAGTGGGGGTGGGAATGTGACAGCTTCATATACACCTCTGTGCCAACTTTAAGGTGAATTCTACAATCAAAACTTTCAATAAAAAAATGAGAGGGGAGGCTAAGCTAGAAAGGAACCGGATTTAGGAAGAGAATCAAACATATGAACACAAATCAGGATTTGGTTTATTTGCGAAAAGCCTGAATACCTGTACCCACTGTGCTTACCTCTGGGTAGACCTCTTTGCCACTACTACAGACCATCTTTGGGTCAGAGAAGAGTGACTGCAATGTCTCTGACGTGCCTTCCATAGAACTGAGAAGCAGCCGGAACACGGGAAGAACTGAAGTCTCTTAACTTAGTGGCTTTAGTTCCCCACCAGCAACTCAGTACTCTGGGGATGTTACCATCATTTTTAAAGAATGCTAAAAACCACAAATTCTGCAGAAAATCTGTTACACAACACTGGCAGCAATTTTAAGTCCAACCAGTAGGTGGCGCCCTCCAACAGGTATTACAGACTAAGACACTGGCAGCAAATTGAGTTTGCCAACAGTCAGGGTCTTTAAACCTAGTGGGTTTTAAGCAGGCTCTGGAATTCTGTTAACCATTTTATGTGGGTATCACAGACACGAGGAGGCCCCAAATGTGGTTCTGTTTTTTCTTACAACTATTTTCCAATCATAAACACATTTACATCTTGGTTGTATGTTGCCTAGCAGAAATATATTCTAAACTAAGCAATCCCAAGATAACAAAACTGCTGTGAAAGAGAAACAAAAGGGCAAAACTGGTTTCAAAAAACTTTGTAAGTTATTGAGGTGCTTAAAAGGAAAAATATAGAAACATCATCATTGCCAAAATAATTTTCCATAACTGGAGCAAATGTCATCTTTCCCAACTATGTTATTTTGCTGGGAAGGGCCAAGACAGCTGGGTTTTCCTCTGAAAGGAAGAAACACATTTCTCTTCGTACTCTCTCCACTTTTACTTCTAACTTTTCAGATGTTGAAATAAGGGTCAGATTTCTACCAAAATGGAAAGCTGTATGATTATGTATTAAAAAGCTTCAGTGGATCATTTACATGACGTTTCAGAAGTAATATAGTTGTGTGTCATCACCCTATTCAGTCTTCTGTGCTTTATGAGGGCACAATGTGCTACAGAGCTTAGAAATACACACAGCCCTTAACATACCGAGGTTACGATTTACCAAATCTCCTTTCAAAGTTGCTTGTCTAGAAGATAGAGCATGTTTATTACAAAAACAACTTTATAAATGACTGCCCCTTCTTTAGATGAGAGAGGGAGGGAGGGAGAGGGAGAGGGAGAGAGGGAGGGAGGGGGAGAGAGAGAGAGAGAGAGAGAGAGCAAGCTCAAAGGGTCCCTGCATTATCCTTCCCAACCCAGCCTGACCTAAGGCTCCAAATTCTCTCCCTCCCTCAAAGCAAACCTGTTTCCTAGCTGACCTCAGCCAGGTGTAAGAAAAACAGCAGAATCAAATCAACACATCTTCTGTAAGTGCCCCCTACCGCCCTCCACACCCCCAGCTTTTAACTCTTTCAAGCATTTGGATTTTAAAGGAGGAAGCATGTTTCTCCCCCCACTTTTTTACTCCCCAAAGGAACTTCAGGGGGAAAAAGAAAAAGAAAACCTAACAAACCAATCTCCGTGGTGTGTGTGTGTGTGTGTGTGTGTGTGTGTGTGTGTAATTCTTGGCCAGGAAGAGGACCAGAACAGGCAGGCAACATCCCTGTAGCTAAACTTCCTTTCCAAAGAAACTTTTCTTTCTTCACTTCTGTACCCAAACTCTATAAGCTCCCAAGGAGCTGAATATTTAATGGCAGCTGCTCTGGCCAGACACACGCGGGGCCAGGCAACAGATGTAAGCAGGCGTTTTGAAGTTGGAGGTTCCTTCCAGAACCGCCGAAGGCTGGCACCTACCTGGAAATGCGTCCCCTTTTCATAGCACTTGATGATTGCCACCTACCTCAGTCTTCTCTTAGTTGGTTCGAAAGGGAAAAGAAAAAAAAAAATCCACGGAGTATTTCTAAATCTTTGCCCCTCATAAATTAGTTATTTTGCATCGAAATGCTTTGTAGATGGGAAAGAAGTTAATTATTTAGTTTCAGATTAAATATAATGATCCAGTGAGCAAACAATCCGCCCTCTCTCCTCTCTCGGCTAACGAGCCACCCAATTTTACTTTCCTGCCTCCACCCATCTGCTCCACCCTATGGACAGTTGCCAAGGCGAGTCCAACTTGTCCAAACAGGACACGGCTTCAGATAAGATTCTGCCCACACCCTGTACTTCGGAAAGACGGAGTGAAGCAATTGATTTTGCATGTAAATAAGGACAGGTGCAAAGGTAACAACCAGGCACAATCCCTACACTTTAGCAGAAGGAGGTCCGGCTATGCAGGGGTGGGGGTGGGGAAACCCAACCCAGACCCGGTAGGTAAACTCTCAAGTTCACAGCCACCTGTGGTTAGTAGCATTCCATACCTTTCTTAAAGGAAATTTTAGCAAACCCTAGTCATTTTCCCTACTAGGGTTACACGCTTGTTTTCCTTCTTTAGGCTGACAATTTCGTATTTTCGTTTTAAGGGCAAGCAACCCAAGATCCATTGAAAAATTCCCATGATGCATAATCCTGCTGTGCACGTATCTTTGTATCTTATAAGGCTGCCCAAGACCTCGCAGTCCTCTTCTGTGGAGTGTTATATAATCAAATCCAGAAGGGCTGTGTGAGGCCAGGCTGCCTCGCTCTGCTGGTGCCCTATCACTGGAGACCCACCCCACTCCACCCTAAGGGGCCTCCACCCATGGGGCCCCACCCTGGAGGGAGTGGGAGGCTGGGAGGGACCAATTGGCTCCAGCCAGCAGCTAGTTCCTGGAAACTCTGGCCTCAGCAGTGATGGCTGGAACCTTAAAAATAACCAGAAAGAATCGTCAGGGTGGTGGTAATTCCCTGAGCTCCTGCGAATTCTCCATTAAAAGTTTATCTCCTAGCACCCCGGAACCTTTGGATATGAACCATGAGCTAATACTGCCCTCTCCCTTCAAAGTAAACAAAAAGGGAAGAGAAAAGCACTGGAACCACGGCTATGTAAGAGAATTAATTCAACATGTCCCCAAACTAAGTCCTCCTCCTCACTCCTGCCTTGAAAAGGCTGCCAGGCTGCCCCCCACCTCCCACTTGCTCTTTTTTCTGGTCATTCAGCATGGAAACCTCTTTCCATTTCTGCAGTTGCCATCCGAGGCCAGGCCCTCAGTGCCTCAGGACCCTGTTACTGGAGTTTTTTCCTCCACTGGCCTCCCCACCTCCAACCCATCCCAATCCCCTTGCCTCCTACATTTCTCAAAGCCCTCTACTCATCTAGTCGTTCCTAAGCTCACAGACCTTCCTCCCTCCAACGGGATCCCCAGGGCTTGAGGAGTGGGTTCAAGAACCCATGCTCAGCACCCCTCTACCAACCAGCTGCCCCCCTGCTCCAACAAGCGCCCTTCATGCTGGCTGCCCTGTCCCCCACCCCCAATGCCTTTGTTCATTTTTGTCCCTGATGCTGGGCAACCCGCGAGGAATGCCCCGTCCCCTTCCGGCTTATCTAAATCCTCCTAATTCTTCAAAGACCAGCTCAAGGCCCTCCCCACTCCGTGCAGCCGCTGATTGCACCCTGGTACCTCTGAGGCCGCCTTCTTACCTAGCTAGGCTGGGCCTTTTAACTTGCCAAAGGTAGGTCTCAGACCAGCACCTGAGCATGCAGTATACTCCCTTGGAGGCCTCCCTCCCCATAGGAGATCAGGCTTGTCCACTGAAGGACATTTTTTTGGTCAGGCACAAGGAGCCAATATAAGAGAACTTAGTCCATGGCAAGAGTTCCACAGTCATTTGCTCTTCCCTTTGCATGCACTTGGAATCTCCCTTAAATAATGAATGGGCATGAGGCAGACCAGACCTAACCCTAAAGGAAACTAAACGTCTCTTAAAAAAATAAATAAAATAAAACGCTTTTGCTCCTAACCTTAATCTTGCCTGTTAGGGGTCCTCCAGAAACCTTATCAGTTTCATCCTCAAAGAATATTTTATTACCCACACAGAGAGATCTTCTAAACATGTCTAGTGTCAAGGTTTCTACTGTTTGAGAGCCTGAAATAGGAGAGAGAGAGAGAGAGGAGGCAATTGCATGAGGAGGGAGGGAGGGTGTATGTGTAACAAAAAAAACACTAGGTTTTTTTTGAAAAGCATACTTCCCTTGACCAAGGAAAGCCAGGGTTTCCTGTTGATCCTTACCACCTTTATGACTGCCAATCTGCAGGTGGTTCTTTACAAGGACTGTGTCATTCAAAGCCCACAAGGTCGGTACGACCTTCCCATTTTACTGATGAGAACACTAGAACAGAGAGGCAAAGTAATCTGTCCAAGATCACACAGCAGCTAAGTTGTAGAGCTGGGATTTGAACCCAAAGTAGCCTGACTTCAAGGCTACTTCCTTCCCCACTCTCCTTCCTCGGGCAGAGGACAACATCACACCACAAACAGCAATAGTGGGATATCGATTTCTGTGAACAGATCTGTCCATGGGGCATGGGGGACAGCGTCTTTACAGTAGCTGCGATTTCAGTCCCTCCCAACTGGTCCCTGATGCCTACCTTCTCTCGTAGAGTGCATGCTTGGACACAAGATCAAAAGACACATTCTGAAGGCCCTAAATTAGGCTATTATTCTTCCTAGCCAATGCACCTGCAACTGGTCCATAAAACTGCTGAGGAAAATTGGCAGCTCTACTCAAGTAAATACGGAAATCCTCATAATCACTGTACAAAGGTGGAAGGGTCAGGTCCTCATCCCCATTTTAGAAATGAGGAAATGGAGGAACAGAGGTGAAATGGCTCGCCCAAATTTGCAGAGCTGCTTGGGGCCGCAGCCAAGAACAAAAGTGTGTCTGCCTGTAGACCAGGGCTCTTTCTGTTCTGCTTCAGTCTGCGCCGTGGGACCGACTTTTAAGTGAAATCATCTCACATTAGGGTCACTCCCTGGTAACGGAGGGTGTGGGACGTGTGGTGTGCAGTGCCACACCGGCCCATGCTCGCTTGGCAGGGCCAAGGGAGGTTCCAGCGGGCAATTAAGATTTCAAAACGCCTTTCTGGTTAGAGCACTCTGGACCGACTCCATCCTGTGGCACAACTAAGAAGAATGACTGCACATAATTTGAGATTAGCTCTAATGAGTAGGTGTTCAATGAACACTTGGGAGATGAATAAATGAATGGATGTCAATCTACACTTCTCACATGCTAGGATAAAAGGAAGGGCAAGGGCCACAGAATGACCTTCTACCAGGTGTCACACAGTGAAACTAGTCTGAAAAATCATCTTCTAAAACCTAAAACACAAAGTAAAGGTGAAAACTTCTGGAGGCTCAGGAGAGAATAACTCCCTTGTTTGGAGACCTAAGTGGAACAGGAACTTGAACCGACTAATGAAAGTCCTTTTGGGGTGCAATGCTTTGGAAGGTACCAGGGTATAAAGTGCAGGAACAGATAAAGGAGTGGATTTCAGTGATTAGACTCAAAGAACAGTAATTAGTATAAAGAGCTTATAGGCCAAAGGAGAAAAAACCCACACCTGATTCCCAGGTCGCTCTCCAGGGTAGATGCACTCACCTCCATGTCCACTGGATCTCCTACGTCTACATTTGGCTGCACTCCACTGATCGGGGCTGAGACTAGCTCCGGGCCATGCCTGGAGATCCTCAAGCCTGCTAGAGATTGGTAACCATCTAGAGCAGTGGTTCTCAACCTTCCTAATGCCGTGATCCTTTAATACAGTTCCTCATGTTGTGGTGACCCCCAACCATAAAATTACTTTCATAACTGTAATTTTGCTACTGTTATGAATCACAATGCAAATATCTGATATGCAGGATGTATTTAGGCGACCCCTGTGAAAGGGTCGTTCGACCCCCAAAGGGGTCGCGACACACAGGTTGAGAACCGCTGATCTAGAGCATGCCTCAAGCTAATCTGGGCTCTTCAGGGTCCTCCTGGAAGGGGGCAGAAAACACCCGCTTCATGGAAATCAGGGCAAGAGCCAGATCCAGGGTTACAAGGAATGCATGGGCTGAAGAGCCACTTAACTTGCTAGATTCTGTCTCCAGCTCCCCTAATCATTAGATGAGGGGAATGATAATGTATTCGGCCTAGCAACACAATAGAGCAGAGTTTCAAAAAGATCCAGGAACATGTTTTGTTAGAGAAAGAACTTTACTATAAACACTCTGACAGGGGTACAAAATATACTGATAATTTTTAAAAATGGTCCATTGAATTATGGTGACTTTTCAGGAAAAGCACACAGCCAGTTAAGAGGATAAATAAATAAATTTGAGAGAAAAGAGTCCTAGTTCTGGTTCAGAAACGGTGGCTCTAGCATTATGTCTCTTATTATTGCTAAATTTCAAGGAAAGAGGTGGGGTTTCAGGGTGGGGTGGGGAGCGGGGCTACCTCCTTTGGACAATGCTCTCCCCTATCGGGGTAGACTGCTGTCTGGTTTCCTGTCTCGAGCTCTGCTTCAGAGGACAAACAGGGTCTAAGAAAGGGACAGATGGGCTGGAAAATGAGAATGCTAAAAACCATCATAACCCTTCCTTTCCACCTCACTCCAAGATGATTTCTGACTAGAGTATTACATGTTAGCAAAGCAGGTAACAATTGTTTCATGATTCTAGGGATTTTTTTTTTTTAAGCTAGAACCAATGATAAATGAAGCACTTCAGAAAGAAACCCAATTTCCAGAATAATGTAATTCCTAGTATTAAGAAGATGAGGTTGTTTATATTTATTTATTTTTCTTCAAAATAGAGTAAGAATTACCACCTAAGAAAGCTGTTCATTTTACAGCAAAAATGGTGATTTGGAAATATTAAGAAGGGGGAGAGAGGATAAAATGGAATTGAATTAGGAATGATGATTTACATGGTCAAGAGATAAAATTATTATTCCTTTTTTTTTGTAATTATAGTAACTTTCAGACTGTTATCATTTCCCCTATTGTTTAGCTTAGCATTTAGAAGCTTGCAGAATTTTTTTTTTTCCTGATAGGATATATTAGCTCCTTATAATCTCTATTAACCACCTCCCTCTTCCCACAAATGAGGAGGGAAGAATGATTTGGGGTAAGCCAA